AGGACTCTACAGTCTACACTTATCTACATGTCAGGACTCTACAGTTTACACTCATCTACAGACCAGGACTCTACAGTCTACACTTATCTACAGGTCAGGACTCTACAGTCTACACTTATCTACATGTCAGGACTCTACAGTTTACACTTATCTACAGGTCAGGACTCTACAGTTTACACTTATCTACATGTCAGGACTCTACAGTTGACACTTATCTACAGGCCAGGACTCTACAGTTTACACTCATCTACATGTCAGGACTCTACAGTTGACACTTATCTACAGGTCAGGACTCTACAGTTTACGCTAATCAACATGTCAGGACTCTACAGTTTACGCTAATCAACATGTCAGGACTCTGCAGTTTACACTCATCTACAGGCCAGGACTCTGCAGTTTGCACTCATCTACAGGCCAGGACTATGCAGTTTACACTCATCTACAGGCCAGGACTCTGCAGTTTGCACTCATCTACAGGCCAGGACTCTGCAGTTTACATTTGTCTACAGGTCAGGACTCTACTGTTTACACTCATCTACAGGCCAGGACTCTGCAGTTTACACTCATTTACAGGCCAGCGGTCACTCTTTCAGAGATGAAGATGTTCTCATTCTTGATAGAGAGGACCGTTGGTTTGAGAGAGGAGTAAAAGAAGCCATTTTTGTGATCAATGGAGCCAATCAAGGCACAAACGACCTAAGTCATAATTTTACGAGAATAAAGTCGTAATTTTACGAGAATAAAGTCATTATATTACGAGATTAAAGGTCTTACYTGACGTGTCCATTTTCCGTTCCTCATTTCCMCCTTATTTTCCCCACACCTGCTGTGAACAGKCATGTCTCTGTGTTTATAAAGTAGTCCATGATGACTTGGGTCCCTGTTAGATTAATATGTTTTCATCCAAATTAGCTKCGTGACGACTAAATCTGTCATGCATGCTTCAGTTTATTATCGTTGTTTGCACAATTTCCAAGTCTTGCTACTGATAWTTTGATGCTAATGTGCTAAACGATWAACTATTTATTTTAAGCAAAACTAAAGAACAACTTGACAAGTTGCTCAACATTCCTCATTTTAATGCAGGGATAACCGCATGATTTTTTGTGTAAAGGATATAGTATTATGACTTTATTTTAGGATATTATGACTTTAATCTCGTTATATTTCAACTTTATTTTCATAATATTATGACTTTAAGCTCGTAATATTACGACTTTATTCTCATAATGTTGACTTTCTCATAATATGACTTTATTCTCATATTATGACTTTATTCTTATAATATTATGACTTTAATATTGTAATATTATGACTTTATTCTCATAATATTATGACCTTAATCTCGTAATATTACGACTTTATTCTCATGACTTTAGTCTCATATTATTACGACTTTATTCTCACAATATTATGACTTTATTTTTCATACGTTAATGTCGTAATATTTTGACTGTATTCTCGTAATTTAAAAAAATCTAAAAATCTTGTTGTGTGGCCCTAATACTCCATAGTAGTTTTTTGAGTGCGCGTCACACAACCTTTGCAAAAATACTGCAACAAATAAAGATCAGTGGCTCCTCTGCARGCTAAGCTTGCTTCTTGTTGCTGTGTTGTTTGACTTGGTTCAGAGGGCAAAAGATCCACAACAGGAAGTATTCTTCCGTCACTTGTTTGCGAAGCCTTGATTAGTTTTTTGGGTCTCACTGTCCTGCTGCTTTAATCTTCATCAGGAAGCTCCTCTTTAATCTGGATGGACTCGACTCACTGCTGATAGGGAGGGAAAAGATTCCCAAAACTGGAAATTCTCTGTTAGCAAGTCAAGATATTCTGAAAGATTTGCATTTTATGACTACATTAAGAAAACTATCGTAGATAACAACTGTTTTGTTAACATTCAGCTCAATAATGACTTCAAATGTAAAGTCAACAACTCAAAGTGAGTTATTTGTTAAAGTAGAGGAATCCCTGAAATGCATGTTGTTTCTGATGCTCCTTTTTGTTTCCTGCAGAGATTGTCACAACGACTGAACCCTGTTGGATTTGAACTAACATCCTCCAATAAGGAGAAATGATGGATTTGTAGTGGTTTTGAGTCACATAAGGTTTACTCTCAATTATTAAACTTTAGCTTATCTTTAGTTCTAAGTATGTTGCAGTCATGTTTTGTGTGGGCTAAGACCAGTTAGCTGCAGCGGCCATCTTTAATTGGGTTGACTCTAAAGGTTAATCGACTTTGACGTTTATTTTGTGACTCTTTTCTAAGAGTCTGTCTCGTTCGGCCTTTGGTGTAAATATCTGGATGAAAATATAAAAGACAGAGGGGGCCCAGCTGAAGTTATCGCTCTTCATGGCAGCTATCTGCTGCATCCATGTGGCGACAGCATTCAGACACTCCCATCCCTCATTTCAGTCTTTAAACATCAAACAGGAAGTTCAACTATTACAAGATTTAAATCTATACGTAAAGTTTAAATAATGTGCTGTGTGTGCAGTTGATCTTAAAATAAAAAATAAAAATAAGACAACATTGTTGACGGAGGTGTCAGAAACAAAATAATCCATTTTCATAAATTGGATTCACTCATTCATTTGTCTCATTTTACCACATCTCTGTGCAGAAAATTCATCTTTAATAATTTATAGAGGAGCTCTATCAGTGTTGGACCAAGCAGGCTGGATTGAGTTATCACTGAAGACCAGAACTGAAGACCCACCTAACCCCACTGCAGAGAACACGTCCCCTCGAGTCAACACGGCCCATTTTATTCACCGCACAGTCAAATAATTATACCAGCATTTTTATCCAAGCCCAGACATGATTTCAGATCAAAATAATGGCCTCACAAATACTTGTTGCTTTTYGCACACTGACTTTTTTTAATTCACCGTTCTGAGAAACACACTGTTGTTGCCACAGGTGGGAGAATGTCTCTGATGGAGTTTTAAAGTTTTCTCTCTTGTTGGGTCATGTTTCAGTCATCCTGCTGCAGCAGCTTATTAGACGGTTTAAACCCTAAAAATAAAATGCAAATCCTGTTTTTTTTTACTTTATATGGAACAAAAAGCCTGAAAAATTGTAACTAATGTGACTTTTCTTCTTTGTAATGTGCATTACAATAACAATTATATTTTTTTATTGTGTGCAAGGATGACTCTCAGCTACTACCGCACTAAAGTTTAGCTCAAAAACTGTAAAACACACAGAGCTATAGTTATTTGCATAAAAAAACATTATGAGTGATAATAAAGGTTGCATGGATTTAAAAACATCAAAAAGAACACTTGAACATGTTTGTTGCCTGGGTTCAAACTTTATTAATTTCACAATAATAAACCTGAGTGGAAAGTAAAAACAGTTTTACAAACACATCAAATTTGACATTAGACTTGAATTTGACTTCTAACGTTTGACTTTTGTCTCTTTGGCGCCCTCTAGTGTCCACGTCATTACAAAACATCAACACTAATTTACTCACTGAGCCTGTTTGTGATTAAAGATCTGCAGATGAAGTGTTGCGAAATCCTACATTTAGCAAACAGCGGCCTGAAAGGTTCCTGTTCAGAAGAATTGGGAAGTAATTTTCTGAGAAAAAAAAAGTTTGAAAACGAAACAATGTGACAATTAATGTTTTTTTGTAGGTTGTTTAGCCTGAAGCACTTGTTTGACAGGAACACATTTAAGTGTTTAACTGTCAGGAGGGAAATGCCCAGATGAGAAGTTCTTTGTTCCATAAACGCAGTCAGTAAAAACTGTCTTTGTTCAAAACAAAGAGGTGACAACTAATAACAAAGGTTTGCTTTTTATAAAACCTGCAGTTTGGACGTTAAAGTGGGCAAATTAAAATCCAGTAAATAGTCAAATCGGAACCAAATTCTTGGACTACTACTGGCCAGGCAATGAGGTTGGATTAAAATAAAAATGAGTTTCCTCAAACCCATCTGTGACAAATTCTCCCCGTCTCTGTTCCTATTTTTTTTTAAAAAAGACCTCCAGGAATATGTTAAACCATCAAACCATAACCTTTAGGATTTTCGGCTACAGTAATCATTCACAGCCTGGAGGACCTGATGGGAGCAGAGAGAGGAGCCAGATGTCAGCAGAGGTGCTTCGTCTCTGACGGTTAGAGCTGGGTCTTCACCGAACCTTTCCCACCATCTGCTTTCTCGACTTGGGCCAGAATCTGCAGCGGGGACAGCGCCACATGAACCACGACGTTTGGCTTTTAATCCGTAATAAATCTGTGCAGGTGACTCACCTCGCTCACATCTGGGAAGCGGCCGGCCTTCAGCTTGGAGAAGACGAGCTGCCCGTTGATCTCAACCTCGAAGGCATCTTTAATTTAGGAAAACGACAAAGTGAATATCAATAATAAGAAGAAGAATAGTGATGTTTATTTTATCAGGAACCAGTTACAGTGATGAGTAGCTTAATTAATTCATTATGTGAAGTTTTAAAGCTGCAGTCTGGTTTAAATGGATCCAGCAGGGATGAATGGTAACTTACTCTGCCTTCCAATAAAACTTGACACTTCCGCATCGGGAAACTTCGCCATAATCTCACGGTGAAGCGCCCGATAGCGACCCATGTACCCTCATCCGCCGCTAGGTGGGATTAAATACAAATAATAATAATAATAATAATAGCAATAAACTCTTAAACTAAAGGGGGGAATAAAGAAAAAAATGTGTTTTCTGAGTTGTAGCTCATTAGCTTAGCGTTTAGTTATCGATGCTAATGCTACTGTAAAAGTTTACCTAGTAAAACAGACCAAAATGTAAAGATAAACAAACATATACTAATACAAAATACACTGATGCTACAGTAAAATCTAATTACCAGTATTCGACTCGAACGCAGACCCCCATTTTCCCTGCTTTTATTTGCTTTTCTTCGTCCCCGAAGAGCTTATTTTATTTAACTTGCTTTGTGAATCGCTTAACAAACTCTGACCTGACTCAGCGGAGTGGGGCGGGGTTTATAAACACAAACGTCATGACGTAATGCGTAACGTTCAATGTAACCTGAAACCTCAACAAAAACTGCCAGTCATACTGAATAGGAGAAATTCAAGCACAGTTTTCCCTGTAAATGTAATCGGGGGATGTTACGCTCAGAACATATGTTGTGAATCACTCTCAGCTATTACTACAAGAAATTTTAGCGCAATATCTGTAAAATTGCTTGAGTTTTAAGCATTTTTGGGTTTTTTAAGGTGTGTTGGTTGTGGTGACCATCTCGAATTGGGTTGGCTCCATAAATGAATCAGCTGTAGAAATGCATCCAGTAATTATTTCCTGAAAGTTTCAATAATATCCATTCAGCGGTTTGTGAGATATTTTGCTAACAATCTAAAGCTAAATTCAAAGCAGTCTTTCGGGGCTGTATCATTTAATGTAAGCAGCCAAAGTCTGACACTTTAAAGTATGCAGTAATCAAACTACAATCTTTGCTTCAAGCAGGAAGTGTCTGCACCTTTCAACTTGTCAAACTGATGTTTCACATCTGATTCCTTTGCAAAACTTCCTCAATGCTTTGCAGAAAGCAGCCTGTTTTTTATGAAGCAAAACTCCTTAAAAAAAGGTCAAAAAAGAATGTGAAAAGTTTTTTAAAGACAGAACTTTTAGCTGGTTGTCCATTTTTTTCTCTCCTCAAATCCTTTTGTTGTCACATGACTCAGCAGGTTTATATCCAAACAAGTCAGCTGTTTTGTCACAACTTTAATTAGTGTTACAGAAAAGCAAAAACAACTCAGACTTCATTTATTCATTTCAAAATAAAATCAGAAAGGAATCAGCGCATTTTATTTATAAAGAGACATTAGGTTCGTCTTTGTTAAATTACAGATTGTGTTGAAAGCCTTGCAGAGGAAATTAATTTAACAACCTGAACGCTTCCTGTTCAGCAAAAACGACGTTTTCCCCACATCAGTGATCAAATACATAGAAACTCTTATACTTGTTTTGCAGGATCATGTTGCCGGTCTGTGTCGTGGAGATTTAATCTCAGGAAGCAACACCCAGTGAGAAAAACTGAATAAACCTGCAGCTTTGAGCGTAAAAATAATCAAGCTGAGCAGAAAAGAAAAGAGCCCGACTGATAAAAGAGAACAGGATGCTGAATGCAAACAGAGAACAGGTGGAAAAACGTTAGATCAGAACCTGCAACAAACTCTCCTCGCCTCTGTTCCTCATCGAGCCAAAACTCCAGGAATGGATCCATCAAACCGTAACCTTCAACAGGTCTTCAGCTACAGTAATCATCAGCAGCCTGGAGGAGCTGAGGGGAGCAGAGAGAGGAGCCGGGCGTCAACAGAACCTGCACAGAAATCAGCTCAACGTGATGAAACCAGAGGTGGAGCTGAGGAACTCATCCTCCATGATGATGGAGGACAGGTGGAGGATTATACAACGGTACAATTGTCTTCACATTCCTGAATCTTCATCAAAGGCTTCCCATCGTGGGTGTTCTTGACTTGACTCAGAACCTGCAGCACGAGAAATAAACACCACTTTAACCGAAGCTTGGCTTTAAAATCCTGTTGATTTATATGAGTTTTTTTTTTTTTTTTTTACTCACGTCTTTCTCACGGGGGAATCCACCAGTTTCAAACTTGGAGAAGACGAGCCGGCCGTTGATTTGGATTTCAAAGGCACCTGAGATTTGAAGGAAACAAAAAGTGAACAAGTGAGGCTTTGTTGGGAATGTGAATTAAACAGCCTGGAGCTCACCTGCTCGTCCCACAGACCCCGTCACCTCCGCACCAGGAAAACGCCTCTCAATGATCACGGCGAGCTCCTGATAACGGGAAAGGTATCCTCATTCATTACTGCACAGAAACAAACAAAAACACTTTAAAAACAACACAACAATTTAAAACCTTCAAATGAAACCTGTGAAATTAAATAGTTACCAGTATTCGATTCGGACTGCGACACCCATGTTTGATGTTTCAGAGCAGGGAAGCCACTTCTGCACAAACCAGCTCCTGTGTCTCACCTGCTGCTTATACACAGGTGAAGACGGAGGGGGGCGGAGCCAAACCAAAAAACACATCATGACTCCTGAAAACAAGCTTCTGCTCAACAGAAATGAGTGTTAGAAGTTGAAACAGACAGGAGATAAAAACTGACTTTTATTTTTCTATTTTACTCAGAATAAAGTTTCATCATATAATCCAGATTATATCCTTGTGATAAAGAGTGACTTCTTCACACAGACTTTTCTTTATAATCTTCACTATAAACCATAGACATAGATGAACTACAGGTGAAAATCATTCCTTTGAACAGGTTAGGCCTTGTTTTTATTATCTTCACTAAAACACAAAAGTAAAATAGTCACATCTGTGGAAGGGGGCACCCAGATTTGAACTGGGGACCTCTTGATCTGCAGTCAAATGCTCTACCACTGAGCTATACCCCCTGTTGACATMTTGTAGGATGACAGATTATTTTTATTTATGATACAAGATGTCGAAGAGATTAGATGTTGGATTCTGGGTTTGCTAATTTTATTTTAGAAATATCAGGATAACAGGTCCTAATCTACACTACATTACCAAAAGTAATGTCTCGCCTGCCTTGACTCACATATGAGCCCAGTCCTAATCCACAGGGTTCAACATGATGTGGTGTGTTTATGGGGAGAAGCACAGTGGTGAGGTCACATACTGATGTTGGACAGAAGGCCTCGCTCTCAGTCTCTGCTCTAACTCATCCCAAAGGTGTTCTGTTGGGCTGAGGTCAGTACTCTGTGCAGGCCGGTCCAGTCCAGACTCTGCTGACCAGGTCTTTATGGACCTTGCTTTGTCACTGGAATGCCTGATTCTGATCATATGAATGGGTAAACAAAGACTTTTAGCAAAAACGCAGACATATTATCATCAGAAAAAGGACTGGAATGTCTTTGTTAAGTAAATATTTTCACATTAGCACTATTCATGGGGGTGTAGCTCAGTGGTAGAGCATTTGACTGCAGATAACAAGGTTCCTGGTTCAAATCCAGGTGTCCCCTGTTTGCCTACCCCAAAACAGGCTCTTTATCCGACCATAAKGTTTTCAACATATCGATAAGAACAAGTTAAATTGGTGTTTTTCTCCTATTACTCTACGGCTGTTTCATGCTTTTGTTTCTCCACATCCACAAGGGGGCGCTGTTATTCCACTGATTAACTAAACTCAGCACAAAAAAAAAAAAAAGGGAAGTTATTGTTTGGTAGATTATTTTTTTTTGTAACAAGACTTCTTGGGAATAAATCTTATGACTGGCAGCACCTGGGATTATCAGAAGCTCAACACAAAAGTTAAGTGTAAAATAAGCTGGGGATTTAGCAAATCTTTAAGTGTGCAACCCACATACTCAGCTCTACTGCTCATCCCACAAATGCATGTTCCTTACAAATGTGGCACCAGTTAATTTAACAGGCTTTCCGACTTTATAAGATTTTTCCTTTCCTTGAATTTCCTTACTTTTTATGCCAAGTTTAGTAAGCTTTAAAAGGTAAAAAAAAAACTTTCATAAAAATATAAAACTAAGTTAATTAATCTTGTAGATTGAAAAACAAAATCTCCTAAAAGCCAGTAAAAATAATTTTCAGTACATTTTATTTTAAATGGTCAGAGCAGCAGAGAGGTTCCTGCTGCTGAATTTAAACAACTGAATATTTTGATTCATTGGYTTTACAGTTTGTTCCTGGCGCTTTAAATGATCTGGATTTGATCTTTTWTGCATTTTTTTCCTCTTTGTTTACATTCTGAGTTCAGTTTGATGTTTAGGAAGGAAAATGTTTAGTTTAAAGGGCTAAAAATAACAGTAAAATAAACATTTTCCCCATTTCAAAATGTACTAAAGTTACTTTAAGATAAGCTCCTCCCCCTTTTTCATCAGCTGTGAATTTATTTTTAGCTGTTCCTTTTCATTGAAAGGTTTGAGTTAATGTCTTTGGGCTTCTTTACTCACAGAAATGTTGCAGAAGAGTTGGTTGTGATCGATCTAATCACCTTTTAAAGAGTAAACAAAACAGATTAAGGCGTTTTTAAGCTGAAAAGCAATGGCTTAGAGGCTTTAAGACAAAACACTGAAACCAGTTTAAACAGAATACTAAATGAGGCCCTCCATGTGTTTATTTGTTATAAAAAAATCCCTATTTTGATCTTAAGATCAAAGAGTCACGTATAAGTGTTCAGAGTCAAAGCTACAGAGGCAGAAATACTGACAACTGTTGTCATGTCTGCTGATAAACAGAACCTGTTCCGTCAGATCACAGCCAGTTGTTCTCGTCTTCATTTTCAAGGGACTCTGGAGGATTACACCCAAAGGAGTGGTGTTTTGAACYAAACACACCCAGTTACAGTTTCATAGAAACGCTTCACGTGTGCAAACATTCTGTACATCAGGATCAACACGGTGACAGCTGCTMTTCTGAAGCGGTTCCTTTATTTAAAAACTGAAGAGTAACAAATTGAAGAGATTTATGTAGCAAATGTAACTGGATTCAAGTTACAGATATGATTTAAAACATAAAAAAGGCAGAATTAAAGGAGGTTAGGTACTTGGCAGAGCTCATGCTTCTGTATGCAAAACCACCGTGAGTTTAATGTTTTAACCACAAATTCTAACCAGCAGCACAATTTAGCCCCAGAAATCCAGTAAGTCAGACAATTTCTACCAGGTTTCCAAACAGAGTTGTGTAAAATCTACCTTTATAACTAGAGTTTTTATGCTTTTTAGTAGTATTTTGCTTTCACTGAAAATTTATGTTGAAAAAAAAAAAAAAACATTACAGTAAAGTCAGGCAATGAGGCGATATCAGACCTTTCTGTGACAAACTCTCCCTTTCTCCGATCCRGTTGGAGCCAAACTCCAGGAATAAATCCTTCAAACCATAACCTACAGGATTTTCAGCTATGGTAATCATCAACAGCCTGAAGCAGCCGACGGGAGCAGAGAGAGGAGCCGGACGTCAGCAGACGATGGTGACCTGCATCACGGTGAGCAGCTCGTGGTCAGTTGTTGGTGAAGCTGCGCTCATCCTTAGGGACGCTGACCGGAGGAGAGGGTTACATGATGACGCACGGAGCGCGGCTTTTGGTGATCTTCTGCACAGGTTTTCCATCACAGGCGTCCTGGACTGCGTTCAGGATCTGAGGCCGGGGGGAAATAAAAAGAGTGATYAACAGCGAGGTTGTGCTTTAAAATGTGTAGTGCTTATGTCACTTACGTCATCCTCATACGGGAAGCCATTTGTCTCGAGCTTGGAAAAGACAAGCTGCCCGTTGATCTCAACTTCAAAGCTGCCTGTAATTTAGAAAACAAAATAATTATGAGCTATGAATTTAGGACCTGCTTAAATAATGTAAAATATACYGATTWAAAAAAWAAWAWYAATAAATCACAGAATCTTGAGCTSAAATGTCAAAGGACGTGTCTGGCAGCTCATCACCTGTTCTTCCCACAAAGCCGGACACTTCCGCTTCGGGAAACTCAGCCTGAACCACCTGGGCGAGTTCCCGATAGCGGGGTTCGTATCCTCACCTGCCACTGCATTAAGAAAAAAAACATGTGGTTAAAAAGGCAGCTTTAATTAGAACCGGAGCGTCGTAAAACAGCGTAATTTAGCTTAGCTTGTAGCTAATGATGCTAACAACAGGAGCTATTCGAAAGTAAAAAAAAAATACTTGCAGAATGTTGAAAACAATAACGTACAATACATTAGTTAAATAAAACACAAATACCAGTATTCGACTTTGATTTTCACTCCCATTTTGCTGCTCCTCCAGACACCGACGTCCTCTGCTGGCCTTTTGTTGCTGTTATGAAACCAGAAATGCCAGAACGTAAAGAAGACGGGGCTTTTATTGTGAAACGTCATGACGTAATACGTAACAAACGCTCGCGATGCTGCGCGGAGCGCCGCGCATACAGGAAATGAAAGGGTTGAGTGAGTTCTGTGAAGAATTAAAACAAACAAACAAACAAACAAACAAATAAACAAACAAACAAAAAAAACTGCCGTGGAAGATTAGACTTTGTGCGCACTGCAATTTTTAATCCAAGCATTGAATTAATGGAAGCCAACTCTGAAAAAATAGAAGTAATTATATGCTATCTCAAAATTATTAATTAGCATTTT